GGTGTGACCTTGAGTGACCCAAGTAAAGCTGTTGAACTTGTGAGAGTTGAGAGACTCCAAAAATTCTGGAAACATAAGCTATTAAAATTCATATTAATTTCAGGAGATTTGCTATTATGTCTCAATTTTATAAGTGTCTCGTTTCTTGATGATTTTAACAGCATTAAAAAAAAAACTTCACTTTTAGAGTGATGAAAATTGTAATAGGAATGCAGTTGCTAAGAATATGCATTTCCTTTGTTAGCTAATTGCACAAAATCTAATTGTGCTTTCAGTTAGGAATATATCTGAGCCTTTAACACAGGGCACTATTCTATATGATGTCTTTCTGTGTTTCGAACTATTTTGTGTGGTGTCTGAAATAAGATTGAGATGCAGTGAAAAAATACTTTTATAAGTTGCCTTTTTACAGGTAAGGGTATAAGTAGGAAACACAAGAGTTGTTGTTATCCTTTTGTCTTCTATATGTGTGTTGGATCAGTGTTGGTTGCTATACTGAACCAGTTGAAAAAATAGTGGTCTTCGCTCTGTTCAGGAGTGATTACATGATTACGTAAGGTGTAATGCTTTCTTTTCCTATGATAAAGTCAGCTGTCAAGTCTAAGAACAGTTTTCAACACCTTTCCCTACTTTATGGTTATTTAGTAGGAATTACCTCACTTTCCAGGGTTTCTGTGTAAACAGCTGGTCTCCGTGTTGCTGAGCAAATGCAGGAATGTGTTCTGTATACAGCAAACACACACATGGTGGTTAGAGTTGACAAAGTCTTGGCACTTACTCAATGTCATTTGATCCTTAGAACAGTTCCTGGAGGGTGGATATCATGAGTTTCACTCTCTGTATTTTACATATTGGGAAGTTCAAGCTCAGGATTGCCCAAGGTCCCCTAAGTGTAAAAGGAAGACATATGGTTTGAACACAGTCCTCTGTCATGGGGTCCTCCAGGCCAGAACACTAGAGTGGGTAGCCTTTCCCTTCCCTAGGGGATCTTCCCAACCCAGGGCTTGAACCCCACTCTCCTGCGCTGCAGGCAGATTCTTTACCGGCTGAGCCACCAGGTGGCCTTCACACACACACTTCTCTTTCAAATACCCGGCTGAGTCACAGGTACCCTTTGTAGAAAAGAAAATAATAATCATGTATGGGTGTCATTAGAGAGTGTATTTTTTCTCTTGATATTATATCAGATTTCCTCTTATCCTCTTGATTCAGAAGATTTAATACCAACATGCCTGTTCTAATCTGATTTCTCTTGTTTTTCAGCAGAGGCTACATTATCTCGCTTCCTGGTCCCTATTCTTCTCTTAATTGGCTGGATTGTGGGATGCATCGTAATGGTTTATGTTGTCTTCTCTTAGAAAGGTAAAGTTTTCAATAATTGAATGTTTATTCATTAAGAGTATACATTACTCCAGGAATAATCTTACTTGTTTTACTAATAGAACATTTTATCATGCAGGCCAGAAGACTTCAGATTGACATCATTTAGAAGAATTAAGAAAAGCATGAAATGACAGATTATTAAATGTTTCTCATGTAAATAACTGCAATGTTTGACATCACTTTATAAACTTGCATTTGTGAACTGTTACTTTGAACCTAAGAATCTCTTCAGAAACATATTTAAAAATTCTGAGTACAAATAAGAACTATAGGAAAAATATAGATGAATTTCTATCACCTGAGAGTAAAAAAAATGTTCCTATGACTTAAAATGCATAAGCAATAGGAAAACATTTGATAAATTAAACGTAAAAGAAATGAGCTAGAAATGAGAGATAGTTCATAGAAAACAAAGTGTAAATGTAAACTTTGTCCCTTAAAACTCTTACATAATAAGAGAACTGTAATTAACTCTGTACAGAAGAGGCATTATTCACCTGTCAGATGGGGAATATGAAGATATTTGACAGTATATGTTGGTAAGACTATGGGGAAATAAGTACTCTTGTATACTGTTTTTAGAAATTCAAAATGATACAATACTTTTGGGGGTATTTAGCAATCAAAGTACCATTATTACATATCTATTTAACTTTTGACCCAGTTATTCCTCTTATAAGAATACTGATGTTTCCTCAGATACACTGGTAAAAATACAAAACCATATATGCACAAGTCTATCCGTTATAGCATTATATATTAAAGCAAAACCCTGGAAAAAGCCAAATATCTATTAATAGAAGACCAACTGAATAAACTGTAGTCAATCTACATATTGTGGCACTTCAGCATCTGTAAGGGATTCTCTGATCTGGTGGCTCAGATTGTAAAGAATCTGCCTGCAATGTGGGTTCGATCCCTGGGTCAGCAAGATCCCTTAGAGAGGAAAATGGCAACCCACTCCTGTAGAAAAAGGAATGAATGAAGGGGGTCTCTATGTAGTGATATGATGTCATCTCTGGAAAAAACAAAAACAAAAACCCAAAACAGGTACAGAACAATCTCTGCTGGCTTTTGTGTACGAAAGGAGGGGCTATACCAGCATGTATTAAAAATACCAGAACAGAGGAGCCACAGATGGCTTAGAACTTCATAACTTCATTTCTAACAAGTTTTCAGTAATGCTGATGGTCCTGGTCCAAAATCCATAGTTTGAA